TGGTGGCGCGGGAGTGTTGGTTTTGACCCCGTGTGGCCCCTCCGGGGTGGCTGAGCCAGTGGGAGCTGCCCGGGGCTGTGCGTGGGCTCGTGGTGGTGCCGCTGGGCTGGGGCCATGCTCTGCCCTGCAGCCGGGCAGGGCTGTGCATTTGGGCAGGAGGGCGGCAGGAGGAGAGGTCGGTTTTCCTGCCTTTCCCTTCCTGCCTGTCCCTGGGCCTCGGTTGCCACAGACTGACTCTGTCTCCTCCTTTCTCTCCTGCTGCGCTCAGTGGAGGATCGTGAGGATGAGCTTGTTAAAAAGCCCAGGTAAGGGGAGCGTGTGCCAGGGCGGCAGCAGGAGCCACAGGGGTGCCCACCCAGGGCTCAGCTCCTGGCTGGTTTGCACTCGCTGTTCGCAGTGACTCTGGGAAGCTCTTTGCCCTGTGGCTGTTTCTTCTCTCCTCTCCTCCTCCTCCGTCACCACGTTCCCTCTCTGTCTTCTCCCTCTCCCCAAAGCCAAGCTGTTGGGCTAGCCGCAGAGCCCACCCTGTGCTTACCCGGCGATGGGCACCGCCAGCGCTCAGCCACTGCTCTGACCGCCCCCTCGGGAGGGTCCTGCCCGGGCACCCGCCTGCCAGGCAGGCTGTCCCCAAATGGGGTGTCCCCGTGCTGGTTGTGCCAGGCAGGATCACTGGGCACTGCTGGCGCAGAGCTGGGGAGGCCAAGCTGCACCGTTGCTTCTTGAGCAGATGGGATCTGGAGGAGGCTGGTGGCACTGGCAACACCTTGCTGGGGGTGTTGGGAGGTGCTGGGCAGCACCTGGACCTGGGGCACGATGTTCCGTGAGCCTGGTGTGGGGCTGCGGGGTAGCCGGACAGAGTTGGGTGAGTGTCTCTGGCTTTTCCATGGGGCTGGGAGGTGGCCGGGAGGCTGGTTTGGAGTGAATGATGCTGGTGTCTCTCTGGGGCTGGGGGTGCATACAGGAGGGATGGGCTGAGCCACGGGTGAAATATTGACTGTTGTGCCGCCGTTTTTCTGATGCCACAGGGATGCCCGTGGGTCTGGCTGGGGCACAGGGGAGCAGTGGTGAGTGCCAGGGTCTGGCAAGGGGGTTGGTGTGTGTGAGGGCACCTTTGGGTGTACCGCCCCGTGCCATGGTGCTGGGCACGTGCACGATCCCGGCTGAGCGCCTCCCCTCTGCCCCTGGCAGGCAGCCCCTGCAGCTGCTGGAGCCCCCCAGCACCCCTGTGTGCGACCCTGGGAAGTTGCGCTGATAGAGG